GATGAGATTTCAAGGGATGCAATTTGCAAAGTCAAAGGGAATGAGATTTCCAAATTGACTAAGGGATGAAGTTTACAAAGTGAAGGGATGCAGTTTCTCAAATTGGTATCCCAAACAAATTGGAACCCCGAAATTGAAATAGGGATGCAATTTCATCAGAAGAATTGAAGTTCAAATTGGTACATGGAAATCAATTTGAAGGATTGAAATTCAAATTGGTACAAGGAAAGGCTTCAATTCAATTGGAGATATAGATTGCAAGGGATGAGATTGCAATACCAAATCAAGTAAGGGATGAGAATTCAATTGACAAATCTAGTAAGGGATAGAGATAGGGATGAGATTGCAATACCAAATCAAGTAAGGGATGAGAATTCAATTGACAAATCTAGCAAGGGATAGAGATTTCATTTCCCAAAATATGACAAATCTAGCAAGGGATAGAGATTTCATTTCCCAAAATAGAAAGGGATGAAGTTTCACAAGGGAAGAGATTTCCAAGTCAATTGAAGAGATGAAGTCTAGAAGCAGATACACGAGAGATGAAGTCTAGAAGCAGATACACGAGACCTAGATACACGAATAACAGAGGAAAATATTAGAAGAAGTTGCAGAAGCAAAAATACTAGTCTAACTAGTAAGGGATTATATTGGAGATTATATTTCGAAGATAAAAATCCCAAGAGGCGTGATCTACACCAGATGGAGATTCATGGGACACCATTTTTGCGAAAACCTCAAGCTCAACTTGCAGAGAATCTCTGACATATCTGCAACGTTATCTTATCCTCTGACAAAAGGCTATACAGCTGGATGAAATTCAAAAATGAGAACGTTTCTCTCCAACGGAAATATTCTCATTACCAGCTATAAATAGATGAAGATTGAAGCTGAGGAAAGCAGAAGCAAGAACGCAATAGAGCAAGAATACAGAGCTAAACAGAGCATACAAAATTCAAAGAAAGCTTTCCATCTCAAGAGCTTAAATTGATATATTCTTTGTGAGATAAACACTCAGAGTGATACAGAGCTTAGAAAAGAAATATCCAAGAGTGTTAAAATCTTCATCAACTTCAAGAGATTCAGCACATCAACGAAGATCATCTACAGAATCTCAAAAGTTGGAAGCAAGGCAAAACTTGTTTTGGAGCAAAACAAGGGAAAGGAGGAAAGTAACACGGAGTTGTGAAATCCTGGATTATCACACGGAGTTGTGAGATCCGAAGCAGCAGTGTCGGGAAGACATTGGGCGTGATTGGTGTGGGCTTGGTGATCAAAGCACCAGATCACGGAAGATACGTTTCTACCGGATCGTAGAAGACGGGGGGAAAGTAGCACGGAGTTGTGAAATCCTGGGAAAGTAACGCGGCGACGTGAAACCCGAAGCAACAGTGTCGGAGGCACTGGGCGTGATTAGTGTGGGCTTGGTGATCAAAGCACTAGATCACGGAATTCATTGTATATTGGAACCAAGAAGTGGTGGATATAGTGAATTGGCTCTTTGAGAAGAGCAAGTGGAGTAAGAGGATTACATCACCTCGCGAACCACTATAAATTGCCTTGTGTTCTTTACTGCTTTCTTTACTTACTGCTCTTGCTTGCTTCTCACGAGAATAATCTTGACACGATCTACACACACACCGTTTCGTTTATTTAATTCCGCTGCGTACCATACTCTAACAATCTAGTTAAGAGTTTTGGTTTATCTCTGGCTTACCAATTGTTATATTGTGCAAAAAAGTTTGAAAGTCTATTCACCCCCCTTTAGACTTTCACCTTACCTCTTTTGGGACCAACAGTACATTATGCTATAAAAGTTGTACTACACAATTTTTGGACAAAAATATCTCTACCGTTATAACTTTTGTTATCTTTTCACATTAGTATTATCATGCACATGCATACACAATATTTTTTCTTAAATTCTTCAATGATAAATTTGATTTCATTTAGATTTTATCCTGACTCAATAGCTCAATGGATAAAGCGTTGGTCTAATTCTTACTTCTATTTTTACAAATCGGCAAATCGCGCATATAAAATACTAGTAATAATTACTATAAAAGTCAATTGTTTGATGTTAAATTATTTATGAAACAAAATTTTTAGTTTTATTTACCGATAAATTTATTGATTAAAAGGAGGTAAAGGTTTTTTTTTTCTCTCCTAGTCATAGTAAAACGTGTTCCTAAATAAGTGTTCCATCTTTGAATGTGAATATTTATCTATATTTTTCTTCTTGATCATATGTGATGGGATTTTTTTAAAAGTAAAAATATAGTATTAACTGTAGTATTTTTATAGTCTATTCTATTTTAAAGAAAAATATCTTAGTGGCAAGTTTGAATATCCTCATTGTGTGATTGAATGATGCAAAATTTAGGGAAATATACATTGTAAATTAGAGTAAGGGAAATGTTATAAACCTTGTAATGACTTAATAAATTTACAATAATAAATAAGTAATAGTCACTTAATAAACATATAGTAGTAGTAACTTAATAAAAATATAATAGACCCGTCGAAGTAAGCAAACTTCGTTGAAAGTCGATAGTATTGTTAGACCTATTAACTAGCCACACTAGAGTAAATAATTGTTGAAAATCAATGGTATTTTTCAATAGGCTTGCCGAACCTATAATTATTCTATTTTTAAATTTATAATTTAAATGTTGAATTATTATTATTATTATTATTATTATTATTATTATTATTATTATTATTATTATTATTATTATTACTACTACTACTATTATTATTGATAATAAAAAAACAAAGGAATTAAATCAATAATAATAATAATAATAATTTTTAAATTAACTGTTTTCAAAATTTATATTTACAATTAAAAATAAATTAACAATAGGTAAATAGATAAAAACAATATATTAATATCCTTATAAGTCATTTTAAATATTATGAGCTAATATTAATCAACTAATTTATCAAACATTTTTCTACATATCATTAATACTAATGAATGGTCAAAACATCCAATACAATATGCTATCAACTATTGTCTAACACAATCAAATATCAATTATCAGTTATAAGCTAATTGTCAAACACCTGCTTAACATAATTATAATTTAATAAAAAAATTGAAAGAAAATAATCAATAAGGGTGTTATCGATGAATTAGAATGTGTTTACAAATCAAAATGAGGGGACTTCTGTGAGCAAAAGTGTAATCGTTATTGATTAGTTGAGTCATCATGATTTATCTCTTCATAGTTTTGTCTTTTGATGTGTGGGGACACTTGAGGTGAGTGATTTTACCTTTTTATCACAATAGAAACCTTTTTTATTACAAGTGGGTCGTTATATCGTGGATCGCGGTCAAAATGACGCTGTTTCTTTAAGTAAAGAAACGGCGCGCCGTTAGTGTTAACGAAGCGCGGATCTTTTTCTATGTTAATTACCAATTGACACTACAGTATATCTAAACCTACACTGCCTCACGTGTTATTTTTATATTATCAAATGAAACTGCAGTTATATCAAAATGATACTGTAGTTGTTGTGAAATGAAACTGTAGTGTATATAAAATGAAACTGAATAACATTTCACATATTTGAGTGTATATTGTACAATGAAGCTGTAATTATATCAAAATGATCATGTAGTTGTGTTTTTAATAAAACTATAGCGTATATAAACTAAAATTAAAAAACATTTTCACATATTTGAGTCTATAAATATCGAATGAAACTGTAGTTATATCGAAATGAAACTGTAGTTGTGTTGAACTGAAACTGTAACGTATACAAAATGAAACTGAATAGCAAAGTTACTTTTTGCGGAAGGGTGCGGAATGACGGAAAACGAATGCCGTTTCTTTTTCTAAAACAAAACAACGTCGTCGTTTTGATGCGTGGTGCATAATCGATTGTGCACCGCGGTGCACGATATAATTTGCCATTACAAGTGAAATAGATTGAGCTATGATAAATGGGCCTGACGTCTTCGCCCAAACCACTATCTTGGATAAACATTTTAAAATACTAACACAATTCTAAATTGTATTGAAGGCCCAAAATTAAAGTAGTGTTTGGTTCAAAGAGGAAAATTACAATTAGAATTGAAATCAAATACTTAGCTTCTATTTGAAAATTGAAAAAATGATTAGTGTTTGATTATGAACAAAAAATGAAGTCATTAGCAACTCGGGCAAATTATGTTGTGGAACTGTGTTCACCTTGCAAGGTGGACACGATTCCAAAACTGTTATAATTGTGAATATAGAGTTCAAAAACTATGAACATAGACTTCTATGATTATGAACATAGAGTTCTGTAATTGTGAATATAGAGTTCAATAATTAGGAATATGAAGTTCAAAAATTATGAACATAGAGTTTTATAATTATGAACATAGAGTTCTATAATTGTATAGACTTAGCCGCTTAGCTTAGGGTGAATTTTTCTGTTGACCATACATGAATATAAATACATTTTTAATATACTAAATGTATATTATTTATATATTAAATATAAATTATTATTTTTTTGAATGCAAATATAAATTATTTAATAGTATATAAAATAATACCCCCTCCGACCCATTTTATCAGTCTTATTTATTATTCATGGAGTCAAACTAACTCTTTCTTCTTTGTTTATCTTCTTTAGTATTTTTTTTACTTATTTTTAAATTTAATTTTTTGTGTTTAATAGTACTTTTAGTGTAGTTTTTAAATATATAAATTTTGTATATTAATACTAAATTTAATATAATGAAAAATTAGATTAAAAATAACTTCATAAAATAAGACGGAGGTAGTATAGTTTTAATATATAAATAATTTATCTTTAATAAATTAAAAATGTATTTTTTATTTATAGTCCACACAATTACGTAAATCATATAACGATTGACTAGCGCAGCAAGTGAGGTGTTAGGTGGCCGGCATTAGACTATCACAGGCATTTAGTCATTAAGGCCAAAAAAATCACGAATCTAAGATATAATGAAAGAAACTAGCATAAAAATCTAAGGCAAAGTGTAGCCAATATGTGGATAATATTATCCAGAGATAACGTGTGGATATCGTCCCAGATCTCCTCAACCTCATCGCTACCGTTCAAATGCTCTTTCTTTCTTCTTTTAGCTTAAGCTTGCCGGCAATTATCACTTCTAGACTTATCCATCACTCCATACTCGTTGATTCTTTCTTCCATATATACCCTTCTCCGGCCGGTGATATATCCATCTATCCATGGCTGCCATCACAAACTTCCTACTCATAAAGCCAACCCCGGAGTTAGCATCCATCCCCAGAATCACTCCCTTCTCTTACGACCCTTCTGCAACCTTACAGGGTAGTCGTCGGAAAACAAAACTATCTGCAAATAATCTCAAACCAAACAGGCCCTTGTTTGTAGCAAAAGCCAGCGCCGGCGCCGGCGCCGCAGCCAGCGGGGTGAAGAAAGCCAACAAGGATGAGAGAGTGCAGCAAGTCCACAGCGCGGAGGAGTTCGACGAGGCTCTCCGGCAGGCCGGGAGCCGGCTGGTGGTGGTGGAATTCGCGGCCAGCACGAGCGTACACTCGAGCAAGATCTACCCGTTCATGGTGAACCTGAGCAAGACGTGCAACGACGTGGATTTTCTCCTGGTGATGGGCGACGAATCGGAGAAGACCCGGGAGCTTTGCCGGCGGGAGAAGATCGAGAAAGTCCCCCACTTCAGCTTCTACAAGAGCATGGAGAAGATCCACGAGGAGGAAGGGATCGGCCCCGATCAGCTGATGGGCGACGTGCTCTACTACGGCGACAGCCACTCCGCCGTGGTCCAGCTCCACAGCGGCCGCGACGCCGAGAGCCTCATCGAGAAGCACCGCAAGGACCGGAAGCTGGTGGTTCTGGACGTGGGGCTCAAGCACTGCGGGCCCTGCGTTAAGGTGTACCCCACGGTGGTTAAGCTGTCGAAGCAGATGGAGGACACGGTGGTGTTCGCGCGGATGAACGGCGACGAGAACGAGAGCTGCATGAATTTCTTGAGAGAAATGGAGGTGGTTGAAGTTCCCACGTTTTTGTTCATCAGAGACGGGTTGATTGCCGGAAGGTACGTCGGCTCCGGTAAGGGGGAGCTCATCGGAGAAATTCTTAGATACCAAGGCGTTAGGGTGACTTATTAGATCAATTTCAATTGTATGTTTACTTTGATATGATATGATGATATATATATAGTCGTCCTCTACAGGCCGGGAATATTGATGCAATAATATATATTTCATTATATACATATTGGATAGGATAGGTAGGTTTTACCCTTTGAACCTTCCCTTGTGAAGATATATTTACTTTACTGGTTGTACGGTAGAACACGATGTCTTTGAACCGACTGCCGTTTGTGTAGACGACGATATATCCCACACAGGAACCTCCCAACCTTATTCTGTTCTCATGAGTGTGCCCGTTTTGTTCTGTTCTCTAGAGGGGGAGGGTGTTTCTTTCTAACAAGTGATGCAAACTTAGTCATTTGAGTTATGCGTGATCATTTTAACCTTTTAAGTTATTTAGGAAATGGCGATTTTAGTCTCTCGAATGCTATTTCGGTCACCAATATGTCACTTAATAAAGTGACAGATTTAGTCATTTAAGACTAAACTCGCTACTTTGCAAATAACTTAGAGGTTAAAGATGTTTCGCATATAACTCAAGAACTAAGTATATACCACGAGTATAATTTGAAGACCAAAAATATACAATTTTCTCTTAATAATTAAATAATTCATTGACATCACTGTTACCATTCCAAACGAAATGTTTCATGTTTGAGTCACATCCTAATCAAGAATGTTAGCATTATTATATTGACCAAATGCTATGTATAGATAATAGACTAGATTGTACTACTAAAAAAAAAAATTAAAATTAAGCCTGCTAGGCTGCTATACAATTAAGTGGGTTAGTGTTACTGCTATCTACTGTATAGTTTAATATACAATTAATTTTCCTCATGTTGCCTTCCAAAATCTTATGTATAATGAAATGGACTTAATCCGAATATGTTGAATTAGATGGATAACAGTACAAGACTTCAATTCAAAGCTGAACTGGCATTACCATATATCCACCTAGTTAGAAAGGGATGGTTATTGGTTAATTAAGACTCCATTACTCAAAAAACAAATTTGACTCATAATGTGTTTGGTCTGATTAATAAAACAGATCGAATAGAGATAAGATTTAGAAAAAATAAAATTGGAGAACTAGATTCTGCATCTCTACTATCAAGTGGGTTAGTGTCACTGCTATCTACTGTATAGTTTGGGCACTTGCTTGGAGGTCAATATGTGGAGCTAGCGCCCCGACCCCTTGTTGCCCTTCGCAATAGATATTGTACCCCCCCCCCCCCCCCCCCCCCCAGACTCAATTACTCAAAAAACGAATTTGACTCATAATGTGTTTGGTCTGATTAATAAAACAGATCGAATAGAGATAAGATTTAGAAAAAAAAAAAAAAAGTTGGAGAACTAGATTCTGCATCTCTACTATTAAGAGTGGGTTAGTGTCACTGCTATCTACTGTATAGTTTGGGCACTTGCTTGGAGGTCGATATGTGGAGCTAGCACCCCGACCCCTTATTGCCCTTCGCAATAGATACTGTCCCCCCCCCCCCCCCCCACCCACCCACCCACCCACCCACTTGTTGTATGGCATAGACACTTGTTTGGAGGTCACGAAGATCATGCAAGTTTGTCAGCTAACATTGCCATTGCGGTTTTCATTGCAGGAACCACGAGAGTTGCCTCATTGATATCCTGCTATTGCTCAAGTTTGTTGAGAGAAAGATGAATACGTACATGTGGATAATCTGCTTGAGAGTTGATCTCAGGTCATCAATAAAATCACTAATAATGGTATTTTTGTAACACATGTAAAATAATGAACAAGGATTGACTTAGAGTAACAAGTGATTTTATTGCTTGGAAAGTTTAGTACAAAATTAGAGCTTGTTATAGGAGCTAAGTATTTATACTGGCTAATGTCCGATCTAAGTATAACGACTCCACACTAAATGTGGACTCAATGTCTCTTATAAGTGCAATGACTCACTAATAATTGTAGCACTCTTCTTAATAAGTGCAATGGCTCTACATTAAGTGCAATGTTCCACATGCTCTATTTGCTCAAATTAACTCTTGCTCCTAATTGTTATCGTTGACTACTAAATTAATTGTATTGACACTTTGGTTGCTTCGGATAAGACCAATGGTGTTATGAGTTGAATCCTAAACTGTATAGTTATCCAAATATCAAGTTTTTTGAACTTTCGGTCTACGACTATAGTAACATTATCAGGATTGATTTGTGACTTTCAAACTTTGCAATTTTAGTTCACGATTATTGTTTTTGTTGCAAAAATGGTCCTTCCGGTCAATTTTTCGTCAAAATCTCACCGAATAAAAAAATTTTCATTTCAAGCAAGGATAAAATAGACATTTACATTGACCTTGTAATCTTGGACCACTGTTGACCTCTTATTCTGACCAAAGTGTGAAAAAATAAAAAATTAAAATAAAAAATAAAAAACAATTGCCAGAGACGAACCCTAATTTGCTCTCATCTCATCAACGATGTAGCCATTGTGTTTTCCTTCAAAATAAAGAAGATGAATATCAGCAAAGGATGGCGTGTTGAAGATGACAATCGATGTTTTCCTCTTGTTCGCAGATGGGTTGATGAGATGAGCAGATTAGGGGTCGTCTCTAGCAATTGGGTTTTTTTTGTTTGTTTGATTTTTTCGCACTTTGGTCAGAATAAGATGTCAACAACGGTCCGAGATTGCAAGGCCAATGTAAATGTCTATTTTATCCCTGCTTGAAATGAAGAATTTTTCTCCGATGAGATCTTGACGAAAAATTGGCCGAAAAGACCATTTTTGCAACAAAAACAAAAATCGTGGACTGAAATTGCAAGGTTTGAAAGTCGCGGATCAATCCTGATAGTGACACTATAGTCATGGGGACCAAAAGTGCAAAAAACTCTCCAAATATCTTATCAAGGACAAACAAATTAAAATCAATGATATAATCAGACAAAATTCAAAGAGTAAGACTAAATATGATAATGTCATACTAGTCAATGGCTAAAACTGAAAATTGCTCTTATTAGAATATTAATAAATATACAAAAATAATTTAATAATTAATAGTCTTGTGACTCGATGAGTAATCGTTATATTGTGAACCAGGGCGCACAATGCATTGTGCGTCCTAAAAAATTTTATGTTTCGTATGTACAGAATTGTATAATAGAATACACATAAACTCTTAGCATAATACACATAATCTAACATAATACATAATACACATAAACTCTCTTAACATAATACACATAAACTCTCTCTTAACATAATACACATAAACTCTTACACATAATACACATAAACACGAAAAAATAAAACTGTAACGGGATTGGACAGACAGAACGGTGTCCGTCACGTCAACTCTCCCAACTTGTAGAAACGACGTCATTTTGGATCAAGCATTGTGCGCCCTGGTGCACTATATAATGGCAAATTATACTGTGGACCGCGGTCCACAATGCATTATGGTCCAAGCACCTGTTCCGCACTGTCCGCAAAAAGTAACTTTGATTGTATAATATATTCAGTTTCATTTCAACACAACTACAGTTTCATTTCGATATAACTACAGTTTCATTCGATATTATACACTCAAATATGTGTAATTGTTAGTCACTTTGATTATATATATACACTGTAGTTTCATTACAACACAACTACATTCTCATTTCGATATAATTACAATTTCATTGCACAATATACACTCAAATATGTGAAATGTTATTTAGTTTCATTTTATATACATGGCAGTTTAATTTCAACACAACTACAATATCATTTTGATATAACTACAGTTTCGCTAGACAATATACACTCAAATATGTGAAATTGTTATTCAGTTTCATTTTGTATACACTGCAATTTCATTTCAACACAACTACAGTTTCATTTCAATTCAATAGCAGTTTCATTTCGACACAACTACAGTTTCATTTCAATTCAATAGCAGTTTCATTTAATAATATAAAAATAATATTTGAGACAGTGTCAGTTTAGATACACTGTAATTTCATTTGGTAATTAATATACAAAAAATACGCACTTCGTTAAACTGTAACAATTGTCGTTTCTTTACTTAATGAAACAACGTCTTTTTTAGACCATGATCTACAAAGTTTTGTGAACCCGATCAACAATATAATTGCTGCGACATAATTTACCCTTGATGAAAACCTACATGATTTGAGGCAAAGCAGGCCTCCATGCTCAGCCCACACCATAAGCCCAAGTACAGAAATTTCGCAAATTATGCTGTGCAACCGAATGCACCTTGCAAGGTGCATACGGTTGCAAAACGGCGTTGTTTTGGTTAAAAAAAACGCGCGTCCCACTTAAAGAAGAAATCAGGTTCGATTCCCGGTAATAGCATTTTTATATATCCAGAAATTCATAACTATATAACAACAATTTCATAACTATATATCCACAATTTCATAACTATATATCCACAGTGAATGAATGAAGTAAAAATCCACAATGAATGAATGAATGAAGTAAAAATCCACAATGAATGAACTAAATATCCACAATATATGATTGAACTAAATATCCACAATGAATGAACTAAATATCCACAATTTCATAACTATATATCCACAATTTCATAACTATATATCCACAGTGAATGAATGAAGTAAAAATCCACAATGAATGAATGAAGTAAAAATCCACAATGAATGAACTAAATATCCACAATATATGATTGAACTAAATATCCACAATGAATGAACTAAATATCCATAAATTCATAACTATATAACCACAATTTCATAACTATATATCCACAATAATGCTATTGCTGAGAGTCGAACCTGATTTTTTTTTTTTAAAGTGGGACGCGCGTTTTTAATCAAAACGACGTCGTTTTGAACCGTATGCACCATGCGCATGGTACATTCGGTTGCACAGCATAACTATTGCAGAAATTTGGTACTTTTAGTATATTTTGTACTTACCGTTAACAGTTTCTGTATATGTAAACAAATAACTTGATAATTATTGACACATAATATGATAACTACAGATACAGAAACAATCAACTGCAGTACAGAATATATCAACTATAGATACATAATTTTACTTTATAATTATTGACACATAATATGATAGTTACAGGTACAGAAATTATCAACTACAGATGCAGAATGTGTCAACTATAAATATAGAATCTAAATATTATTTTTGTACCACGGTTTACGATGGAAGGTAGGATGTGATCCATGGAATAATTTGCCCGGAAGATGATGATTAGTCATTTCATATAAACACAGTCGTTAATGACAAAGTGTTATAACAACCTTCCCCGGTTTGGCATTATAGCACTGGGTTGGTCCCATTTCACCTCTTTTCAACAAATCTAAAAAAGATAATTTAGCTCTTTCTAAAACAAACAATATTACTCTGGGCAGTGCTCCAAAGTTTGTTTTTCTAATTTTTTTATTAATATATGTAAATAAATAATTGAGTATTGCCAAATATTTTGTGCTTAGATGACATGTAGTGACCTCTCTCATATGGGAGTTCATGAGGTTGAGCTTTAGTGGAGGCGTTGTTGACTTTTTGTACATAGAGTCAGTAGCATTCGAAAACAAAATTGAGTATACGTAATTGTATTTGTTTGTTATTTTTTCTAATATTGTAAAATAGCAAATAATAATAAATTGATATCTATTAAAAAACAAATCATATGCATAATATACAGGTGATAATGTGATGGGATTTCTTGGTGGGAGGTTTCGAGCATTTTGTACGTGGAAAATATGAAAGGGAAAATTTTCGCAAGCATAATTGTGTGAATTTTCCATTTCAAAGCATATTTGGGAAAGTTTGTCTCGGTGTGCACAATTATGAGAAAATATATTTGACTGAGGGACTTGACTGAACAGACCAAGCCAGTCACTGCAGGAAATTATGAGAAAATATATTCGACTTGATTTAAGATCACTTTCAGGTGGTCGGAAATTTCATAATTTCCAGCAGTGAGCGGCCATAGGAATATTGTCGGTCTGAACAGATCCTGGCTGCCTTGAAAGATAGGCGAGAATTCAATAGGAGTTTCCAATCATATCGTGACAAGAAAATGGTTTGAACAATCGACAAAATTAAAGACAAGTATTGTGGCTACTATTATTATTAATTTTTTTTTATTTTATCAACTATTTAGTACGTCCAACTCATTCAAATGAAATCAATAATGTGGAAAGTTCTACACTCCACAATCCACATAATATGGCAACCTTTGCGTGGCAACTATATTCCATGACAAGCTTTGCGTTGTCACCTATATTACATGACAAGCTCCGAGCTGTCATTTGTATTACATGACAAGCTCCGCATTGTCACCTAAGTTACATGCATGGTAAGCTCTGAGCTGAGCTACATATAACAATAATGGTAGCAGATGAATAAGTACGCAGTTGATCACAAGGAAAAAAGATATGAATTTTTGAACATATCTTCTAACCAAAGACCTCATATTTAATCAAAACTAAGGGCGTACCCCTATAATCATATGTTATATACTCATCTTGAAGGAAATAATCCCCAAATGCTTTGCACACCTAATTGTGAGCATGATATTCAATGCGCCGAGCAAGGGAAAATGATGGATACTTTACTGTCTCATGTTTCGCTAGACACAAGAAAATGGAGGAATGATGGGTATCCGCATAGGTACCTAGTCAGCACCATTGGCAAGCAGTGCAAGACGGTAGTCAGACAGGTGCTCAGACTCGGCACCCGGTCTCGAGATGCGACCAGTCAGTCGTAGCGGTGGAAGAATGAATTATATGGCAATTGCAAGATTATGGAAAGTTAACATATACAAACTACCTTCCTAAATATTTATTTCCCAAATCATCTCTACTACCTAAATATCTTTGTATTTCCTAAATTCCTATATATCGCAAAAAGGCTTAGTGAGATGAGAATCAACACATCATCTGCATCTCTTTAGAGAACACAAATTGTACATATACAAGCTACATACAAAATATCGTAAAACTAACACTAATTATTGTTCCTTAATTAATTATACTTATTATACTTATTTTAAATTTCAAGTTTCACGTTTATTTGACTTACATTAAACTAGTGATTAACTTCAAGGATTATCAAGAACAGACGAACAATTAAAAAAAAATCCATAATATAAATCGCCCAACTCTTAATTTTCACACAAGTGTAGAGAATTGAAGATTGAGGGAAAAAAATAAAAATGAACGAAATACTCGAAAATAGTATAAAGTTTTACTAGATAGATAAGCCTTGGAGCAAGCAGAAAAATGCTTAATTACAGCTTATTTCGCCCTGTTTTCCTTATAGTATTGTTACAATAAAAAAGCACATAAAAGAAAAACAGGAATTTATAATAATAAGTATAGTCTAATTTGGATAGGCATAGGCCATGTGAGTGAGAATCGTTGAGGTATTGAAACCATTAAAGTTTGAACCGGCAGCTTTCGTGTACGCACCCATGTTTGGAAACACCAGCCAGTCGTTGACTTGTAGTTCCGGTAGTTGGTAATCTCTCAACACCGTGTCAAGCGCGTCGCATGTGGGCCCAAACACCGTTGACGCGAACGTTTTCGACTCTCGGCAAATAATACCCGGGGCCAGATTCGACGCGCACGCTAGGGGCGTGGCTGTCACAGTTGCGTGATCGTATAGAATACAGTTCATTGAACCGTATAGCCCATCGTTGATCCAGTATTCTCGGAGCTCGCCCCTCACGCGCTTCCCGATTATAGTGGCGGCCAACGTGAAAGGGGTTTCCGCGAAGAACCGCCCCGGTTCAGCGATGATTGTCAGACCCGGTTCGTCGCCGAAGAACTCCTGGACCGATTGGTTGACGGCCTCGACGGCGTCGTTAAATTGCTGTCCAGAGGTGAAGCCGCCGCCGATGTCGAGCACTTGCAGTTTGGGCAAGCCGAGCCGAGTAGCCGTATCGAAAACGGCTCTAGCCGCGGCTATGGCTCCCCTGTACGCGCCGGCGTCCGCGTCTCCGCTGCCAATGTGGAACGAAACGCCGGTGACATTAAGCCGCGCCGCCCGAGCCGCGAGCAGCAACGGCTCCACCTCCTCCGGCAGCGCGCCGTATTTGGGACCCATCGGACACCGAGCATTGCCGTCGCGGACCGGCTTGATCCGGAGGAGCAAATCGCACGTGGGGTGAAGCCTCTTAATCTTCTCGACCTCGTACTCCGAATCGAACGTCGTGATATTCACGCCGACATTAGCCGCGTAGACAACATCGGCTTCCGGCTTGCACGGGTTAGCGAACACTATCCGATCAGGCGACACGCCGAGGGATAAAACGTAGTCGATTTCAGATCGGCTAGCGCAGTCGAAGTTGCAGTCCATGGCGGCTAGAACCGTTAAAAACGACGGCTCGGGGTTACACTTAACGGCGTAGAAAGGACGGACGTTAGGGAAAGCGGTTGTCCATTTATCCATGAGACTCACAACCTCGCCCAAGTCCATCACGTAAAAGGGGTCTTTGGCCTCTTGCTTCTTCAAAACAATGGACTTAATGAAATCATTGAGAGCATCTTTTGAGAGGGGCACGAACCTTTTCCGGTCCTCCGCCGGCGCTCCGACGGTTGACCGGAGAATGGCGGCGGGGTTCAAGCCGGAGACGATGATGGGCTGGCGCTCCATCAGACACAGAAAACAGAGCGTTTTAGGGTTTGAGAAGTTTAATTTGCAGTTGTCTAACGTATTTATAGGGGAGTTGCATGACGCGTTTGGTACGGTGAAGACGAGACTCCTATTAGGTAGGTAATTTGGCTTCAAATGAAAATAAAAAATAAAATAAAAGAGAGCATATTCAAAGTTGGGTTATATAACAAGTCAAAATAACTACTCCAATATATTGTTGATTATAAATTAATTAATAATAATTTGACCTAATTTTAGTTGGGTAAAAATTCTTCTTTTGTTGCTAACTAGTATTCTTTTTGACCAATTACCATGTATTGTGATGGCATCCTAGTTACATTTTAAATGGATAGTCATGATTCTTTGAGCAGATACTACCTTATAAAAAATCATAAGTATTTCAAAAAATTAGTATTCCTTTTGGAAACAATTATATGTCATTATAAAGTTAGGTGAGAAATTAGAAAAAATAATAATTGTAAAAATGTATCAATTCCAAAAATAATGATTAAATAATATATTAGAGTTTTACAAATTTGGAAAACGTCCTTCTATATAATGTATGATGTTGAATTACTTTGGATGTTCACAAATCAAAATCTTTAAACTATTCAAGATTGATGACTTATGGAATAAAATCATACAATTGTCTGTGTTTGAATACAAATCTTTTAAAAAGTAGAGCTACATGAGAAAGAGGTTGACCCTGACTTTTGTTAATCGTCATTGTGTATACACGTACCCTGGTATGCATGTTTATTCACGGGAATGAATATATATTATAAAATTATTAATTATTATCACCACTATCACACCACCACACTGCCACCATCACCATAACCACACCAATACCACCACCATCTCCATTAACACCATACAACCACCACCATCATCACCATCACCACCACAACCACTTATTATTATTATTATTATTATTATTAGAGTTAATTAATACCACAAATGATCCTGACTATTGGGGTAGTACTATTTTTAGTCCTCGACTTTCAATTCGACCAAAACACAGACATTGACTTTTTTTTTTTTACCACAAATAGTCCCCCGTTATAATTTCTATTAAATGAGTGTTAAATCTATGGGTAATATCGTTAAATCTAAAAGTATTAAATGTTCATTAAGCAGATAGTTTACGTATGCAAAATCTAACACATAATCCTAATGTTATGTGTTCAGAAAATTGTTTGAAACAACGATAGAAAGTTAATGAAGGAAAGATACCTTGATCGAATTCTTCCATTGCTGGACAATTGCCGCTATTCTTCAATTTAATACGTTGTTTGAATCCGCGATTGAACGATGAACATAGTGTATTTTATAGGCAATAATCGAGATTGGAAATCAATTAAGAGTAGGAAACAATGGAGACTAGGAATCCGTGGCAAAATTAGGAAAGAGAGGTTAATTAAATTGCAAAACGATATTGTCCAAGATGGTTAAAACAAAAGGACAAAAAAAAAACTCCACATAGCCGGTCACGTTAAATTGGCGTGTTGGATAATCTCCATTAGATCTACACGGAGCTAAAGTTTAGATTTAACCCCCCCTTTTTTTTTTTACTGGAGGTATACTTTACGTTGGAACCTCTCCACAGACACAGCCTTTGGAGTGTAAAATTTTGTTTTTTTTTTTGTGAGCAAAAATATCAAAATGTGGGTCAATCACTATTGTAATAAATTAAATTAATGGGAATGAGAAAGTAAAATAAAAAATAGGAATAAAAGAGCAAATTGTATAATAAACCGAATCTTTTACCTTAGCTTCGTTCCGTGGTCACCTCTCGTTCGGTTCTCAGATGCCGTGATACAATTTATTATTATGATATCAATCTCAATCTAATCGACTAAAGTTGCAACCGAATTTGTACGACGGTAAAAGTATTTAAAAGGTGGAAGCCTCCTTTAGATGGCGTTTGGTGGTCAGAAGAATTCCAAAAAAAATGAGAAAATTAATCTCATGTTTAGTGTAAATTTTGATTAAATATACTTCGGTTAATGAGAATCTAATTTTATGATATCAAGGAAAATAATCCCACTCACGGAAGATATAATTCGTTTTTCCTGTGACTAATAACCTACTAAATTTAATTTATTCAATGACATATTTATCCTTTTAAGCGATAAGTTAAAAGTCTCTTTAATATAAGAAATTTATCTATCTCGCCATTACGAAGGATAATAACGCTATTTATCAAAGAAATTTGTTTTTCTCAATTTTTTTTTACATGCGTACTGTTTTAAATTTTGAATATTCTTGTTACAGTTTTGGCATACGCTGATTTATTAAACTCTCAATTATCTTAATTAAATTTTATGTTTTCAGGATAACACCAATTTTAATTAATTTTTCTTGCAAAATTATTCCTATTAAATACATTATTTATAAATATTTTCTCAATAATTTAATTGATGAACAAGTATCAAATGCCCCCTTAAGAAAAACATTGATACACCTATAAAAAAAATTTACATATAAGATGATATGATACAAGGAAAGCAATAAAATGCCTTAATAACAATAGAAAGAGGCCTCAAAACTTAATGTAGTTGATTCGTTGTCTAATTTAAAGGTCATGACGAGAAGCATGTATGGAAACAAATATTCTTTTTCTTACTAATAAAATCACTATATAATATTTATTATCTTCATTGAATTATATCAAATACAATAATAACACGTCATATAGCGAATATTATGTGATAATTTTGTCGGTTGCCACCGTCAGATATACAGTGACGGACGGTCAAGGATTGAATCCTTGACCTTTGATTAAGGATAGATGAATTCCTTCCACTCAACCACACTCCAAGTTATTTTTTCATGTTTCTAATATACTGTAAAATGTAAACAAAACTTTCTTCAATTATTCTTTTATTTAATGGAACAAAACAGAAGCGACTTTGGCCACAAAAATGTCTAAAAAGCAAGAGATTCTTAATTACATAGTTTTAATCGGCTAAAGTAGATTGGGAATAAGGAAGCTCCATGTCGTTATGGACCGGTTTCCCAATGGGGAATAAGATAGAACCGTGTGGTCATGGACCTGTCTCCTTTTGGTGCAGCCTCAAGGTACTTCCTCACAATGCCTAGCTACTAGATTATTCGGGGCAACCCAGTCAAATTGGTCGAATAAGTAGCTTGTAACCACAAGATTTCAAGTTCGATTCTTCATAGAATTGTCTATTGGTCTTCTTAGTTTAAACCGATCAGCTAGGGTCTCATGGCGAAATTCACCCAAAGCGCATGTTCAGATAGTGATTGTCGACTTTTCCGTAAATAAAAAGCTACTAAAGTATCCTAATAATATGCGGACATAATAAGCTATCAAATGTTGGAATGAGTTGTCTTGAAAGCCAAAGGCAAAAGTATATTCTATTATATTAATGGTAAATAGAATGTTACAAGGGCGGTAAAGCACAAAAATAAGCTTAACAAGACTTTGTTGGTACACGATAATGTTTATACTCTAGCTTGGAAGAACTTGCATGGCTTGTGGTCTATGATGCATTCATAGGAATATATTATCTACTGCAAGATAAATATATAAATTAAGAGGACTGGTTGCAAATGAGAAGGATTGATTCAAAGCATTTTGATTGAAGATTTTATTCTATTTCTTTTCGTATTAGTTGTATGTGGTTGGTGATCGATTTTATTTTCCTAGACTAGAATTGTCACTAAGCCTTTTATAGTAGAAGAATAACACTACATTTGGTAATGTAATATGCTTATGGTAATCGGGTATTTAGCCTTTTGTAGTAGAAGAATAACACTACATTTGGTAATGTAATATGCTTATGGTAATCGAGTATTTATGGTAGAGTGGAATATTTTATGCGATATATAGGAATTTAGGAAATACAAAGATATTTAGGTAGTAGAGATGATTTGGGAAATAAATATTTAGGAAGGTAGTTTGTATATGTTGACTTTCCATAATCTTGCAATTGCCATATAATTCATTCTTCCACCGCTATGACTGACTGGTCGCATCTCGAGACCGGGTGCCGAGTCTGAGCACCTGTCTGACTACCGTCCTCGACTGCTTGCCAGTGGTGCTGACTAGGTACCTATGTTGGATACTCATCATTCGTCCATCACTTCCTTGTGTCTAGCGAAGCATGGGACAGTAAAGTATTCATCATTTTCCCTTGTATTAAAGTTTCATGCTTGTAATGCCTGAGTTTATAAAGGGAAAATTTTGATAGTAAATAAAGTAGGCTAAAAGCTATATAATAGAGGTGGAAAGATTCGTTAAAACATTTTCTTTACATTGTTCTCTAATAACATTATTTAGTTTTCTTCTATCATTATTCCTTGTCACATAATTTGTTATTTGTCTCTCAACATAGGCCATTCAGAAACAACCTCTAATAGGATGAATCGTCCTATAACACTTGCATTATATTTGCTTGTGATCATAACATACATTTTGATTATGTTGCTTGGTGTCAATATGGCAATATCTAAACAATGCAAGGCGATAGAGCTATTGAAAAGGGCCGTAGGGCAGGGCCCATCAAAGCCTTTCATATGGCGGGGGCGGGCTAAACGCTTGCCAAAATATAGGCCTAAATCAGGTTGGCCCGCCCCACCTCACCCCGCCTTAGGCCCGCGAACTTTAACGGGGCTCGCTAAATTTGAAAAGTTTAAAATCTACTATACTAATAAGAGCCCAAGAAAGTTAGACCTATAATGGGTAGAAAAAATGATGGTCAAATTTTTTAATCAAATGAATGGCTCAGATTGATCAGATTTTAGTTTTTTCGTGGAATTTCCTAATTTATATCTCTATATATATATATATATATATATATATATATATATATATATATATATATATATATATATATATATATATATATATATATATATATATATATACTAATAAAAGCCCAAGAGAGTTTATAGGCCCAAGAGAGTTAAACCTATAATGGGTAGAAAAAATGGCGGTCAAATTTTTTAATAAATGAATGGCTCAGATTGATCAGATTTTAATTTTTTCGTGGAATTTCCTAATTTATCCTT